CTAAGAGACACTGAACAGTTCCATACCATAAACCCTGGACAGGAGCAAAGTGGCCAGCTACCCCAGGATGTGAACAGCACCCAGCTTTCTCAAGTCTGCCCCCCAGATGGCACTCACAAATAAGCAGGAAGCAGTCTTGAGAATCTGCCGTCTCAATTCCCTTAACCTACCATGCCTAACCCCCTGTCTTTTTATTGTAAGAGAAAGATGGAGATGTTATTATTTCACTGACCTTCCCTGTCACCTGGGTACCCTGTCCCTTTAAGAGACGAGCTTCACCCACTTCCAATCCCTCCCTTCTGCTGAGGCAAGTGGATCCCCCCCATTTCCAGACTGCTGTCTCTCTTTCCATCCCTCTTCAGAGAAATACCTACTACCCCTCTCCCTTCTCCCACCTTCTTCATTTTTTCACTCTCTCCCCTTTTCCTTTCCCCTCCATAACCCACTAAATAAACTCTATACCGAAAAAGAAAAAAAATTAACATGTTAAAACATAAGCCTCCAAGTGAGACTATTAAGATATAGGGCTTTTTAGTACTGATAGTGTGTTGATCTCTCCAAATCAGTCACAGGAAGGGCGTTTTTGTCACTTTATACCATATGAGGACATAGACATATGTACTGTCCATGAAGTAGGTAGAGAGAATTCAGAAGCTTAAGAATCATCTAAAGCTGTATGGTTCAACTGGACAGTTTACAGAACTCTGAGTAGTACTTAGACTTTTATTATTTAGTCAATGTTACTTTATTACAGCATCCTTTATATTCTAAGAGACAACATATATTTGCCTTCTTCCAAGATACTAAAATGTTCATCAATATGTAAGTGCATTGTTTCCTCCACAACAAGATGATCGGCTTTATAAATTGATAATAATTGTGTCAACCAATCCAATTTATAACAAAACAAAGTGATCTATAACAACAAAGTGAGATATTTTTCACTTTCGACAAAATATTTATTTGAAATGTACTGTGAATAAGAAAAATGCTAAAACAGTATTAGTGATAATTTTCCTCTCTGCATCAGATATGGATCAATGCACACAGTGTCCAGATAATCGGTATGCCAACTAGGAGCAAAAGAACTGTCTCCATAAAAGAGTGACATTTCTGGCTTATGGGGATGGCTCCAACTTGCAAGACCCTGTTCTCTGTACTAGTGGCTCCTGTTCTTGTGGTGTTAAGGAGCACTAAGACACCCCTACTGTGAAAGGACTCTCAGCTATGTTCTATTTGTCTCCCTATTGTTTTACTTTTTCTATTTCCTGATGTACATTGAGCATCCCAGCATGGTCACCTGTATCCTTAGGACACTGTTTCTGAAGTCCTGTTTACTGTGGTTCTTTTCACTGTGTTGACCAAAACTATTACTGTAGGTGTGACTTCCCATCTCTCACGCAGAAAGGAAGATGAAGGACATGCTTATATCAAGAGCTCTGAAGTGTATCGTTTCCTTCTGTGTACTGATCCAACTTAGCACCTATGGGATATGGTTAGGAACATCTCCTTCTTTTTTGACACAAATGTACATTCAACATGGCCACATCTTTATTCTGTGCAACAATGGCTTAGTTCACTGCCTCTACAGAGTTCTCAGATACTTGGGCTCTCTGGCCCTAGGAAGTTTCTTCACTGTGGCTTTCTTTGTCAGCCTGCCTAACAACACCTTCAGTGAAACCTAGTTCCTGACCTTCATCATGCTGGTGTTCTGCAGTGCCTGGGTGACCTTCCTCCCTGTCTACCACATCACCAAGGGGAAGGTCACAGTGACTGTGGAGGATTCTCCATAATGGTGTCTGGTGCAGGGCTGCTAGCGTGCATATTTTTCCCAAATGCCACATTCTTTTGCTAACATCAGGTAAAAATTCTCTTCAAAAGTTCAAAGATTCAAATACATTTATGAATTCTGATGGTTATTTTAAAAATTAATTCATATGTGACCTTGCTACTGAAGTTGAAAACATCACTGGACTATTATTTTTTAAAAGGTTATAATTTACTATTCATTTCTGTTGGGCAAAAATAATCTCAGGGCCTGTACCTTGAGGCCTGTAGGATGGAGAAAAGCCTGGCTTGAGTTTGAAGGACAGTCTCAAAGCTACTGAGTGGAGATGAGACAGCAAAATCTAGGTAGATGCCTCCCCAGCCAGAGGAAGGGCTTAGCTGTCTCTCATTGGAGGGACCCACGTCACACAATGTCATGTGGCTGCAGATCTGATTGTCCTGAGTTGTGGAGCTACTGAACAGGTGGATAACACATTCACCTTTCCCTGGGGAATAAGGCTAAGGAGGCCTGGCACATTTCCATGGAGAGATCACTCTCAGATTTTCTCTGACGGTATTTGTGTGGTTGTCTAAAGGCTATTATCAATCTGATTGTCTGTGTTCACTCCTATTCATCTGTTGTCTGTCAGTTTATTTAACATAAACCTGCCATAAAACGCTGAGCAGGCCAAATGGACTGAAAGTTATTATTTTCTCTCTTTAATATGCAAATAATATGCTATTCAAAATAAGTCAAACTCACTTCCATTGAGTGTGGAGAGAAAGTTTGAGATGCAGTCTGCGAGAAAGGATGCTCCCTTACATTATCTCCAAATTACTTTTAGAGCTAAAGTTATAACAATTTACCCCTTGGAAGAGAATTACAGTAGACTCATAAAGGATTAATATGTGCTAGTTAGATAATAGAAAGGAGCTGATAAACAGGTAGAATGGAAACTATTTCACGGTAGTGGGTAACTTAGCAAGGCCCTCAAGTTGGGAGCACTTTTGAAGGGACCATCCAGTTACCAGAGTCTATAAATCCTACTTAGAACAAGCACAGAGTACAAGAAAAAATGATCTCAGTTAAATTGTGAAGGTCATGGAGCAGCTATGAAATTCATGTAGAAATGGGGACATGGTTGGAAAACTGACAGCAGGAAGAAAATTATTGTTAAAATAATCTCATTTAATACATTTGCATTTTAGTATATTAGAGACCAAAACTTGGTGAAGACAAGTAACCAGCTCTACCACTACTTGGCTTATGCCCAAAGGACTCTATATCCTGGTCTACAGTTGCTCAACCTTGTTCATTGTTGCCCTATTCATAATAGGTAGGAAGTAGAAACAACCAAATGCCTTTCAATTGCTGAGTAGGTAACGAAAAGGTAATACATAAGCACAACCGAAATTCTACTCAGCCATAAAGAAAACAACATCGTGAAATCTGCAGTAAAATAATTGGAAGTAGAAAACAAACTGAGTGAGAACCCAGGGGTGAAAAGGCCACATCTTTTATTTTATGCCTATGGGTGTTTTATCTTCATGTACATCTGTACACCACATGTCTGCCTGGTGTCACAGAGGCCAGAAGAGGGTGTTAGAGCCCCTGGAACTGAAGTTTATACACTCTATGGGTCCTAGGAAATGGACCCGAGTCCTCTGGAAGATAGGTCAGTTTTGTAACCTTTAAGCCATCTCTCCGGTGTTTCTATTAAAAATCTCCATTTAAACCTCAGTCTTGCTTCATTTTGACTCAGCCTGAAATTTTTTTCTACAGCAAAGTGTGTATCTGTGTGTTTCTGGCTTCACCCGAATGGAGATCGGTGGTAAAGAGCTCCCGCTTCCCCCGAAAATCCATTGGTTCACTGAAGTAAAGGGTGGTCTCTGTAGGACACTAAGTCCGTGATTTCCTGTGCCCATTCATGACTTCATCTCCAGGAATCAACAAGCAGGACGGTCCACTGAGTACTGATTGACGCCGATCTTCCTTTTTCCTTGCGTCCTGAGAGTCGCAGGATTGCAGGTCGCTGCCCCTGAGATAACAGGGGCCGCTCCGTCTCTGGAGCAGTGGGATAGCCAACCTTGGCAGCTGAGGTGGCAGCCGGGGGCTGCCCCGCGAGCTGTCGAAGCAGGCGCAGCGGCGGGCGGGGCGGAAGTCCCTCACCCGCCATCTTCCTTTCTGGTGACGCCCTCGGCGCGTATCTGCCCTGACACTGAGGGAGTCAGGGTGGCTCGACCTCCGTAGCCATGTGACACCTCCCCGCAGGAACGGTTTTGAGGCCGAGGCACGCGCGGGTGCTGACTGGGTGTCCGATGTCCTGAGTGCCGGCGAGCCGGGCGGAAGTCCCTCTCCCGCGGTCGCGGGGCCGTCCCGTCAGCTGGGGGAGCCGGGGCGCCCGAGCCTCAGCGGCGGTGCCGGGCGATCGCCCGGCACCGCCGCTGAGGC